GTTTTAGTTACGTTAGTTGTTCGTATTAGTACGTATACACATAGAGAAGTTATACACACACACACACACACACACCACACTACACACACACACACACACACACACACACACACACACACACACACACACACACACACATGTACATCTATACCGGTTTAGTCTGTTTTTATTTGAATACACTTAGATTTTGTAAAAACTGATTTTGACTGAGATTCTATTGTACACTACTTTCACAACTAGGAAGCAGTAATGTTGACAAATGACACTGACTGAAAACTGTTCTCAAAAGTAAACATTTCACAAAATATATGTATACTACAAAAATGAAACAAATAAAATTTCCTACATATGTCACAAGCCTTGAACAAACTCCCACCCTTACGCATGTCTACGTGTATTGCACCAACCTATGGCATAAGCAGCATGGTGCTATGCTTCTCCACCAATAGAAGGGTGACACGACCTCCATGCACGATAATCCTTGTGAGCTCTAGCACATGATCATGGGTTCATTCTTTCCTCAGCATTACCCGTGTTTAGACATGTTTTTAAGTTTCTATTCAACTCAGTTGACTGTCTTTCTTTCTTTAGTGCTACATTGCTTTTGTCCTTGTTGTACTTTTGTTCCATCCACTTGCTTGCACTTCTACTTTAGGTTACTTTTGACAATGTATGCTAAGTAAATTATAAAAAAAAATCACAGGCCCACACTCATTTGTGACTGGAGCCATTTTATCTCTTCATGGACCTGACATTCATTTGTTATCCCTTTACCTCACTTAGTAGAGCACACTCCTGCTATGACAGGGCTCAGATACTTTTGAAGTTGTAGATGATTTCTGGAAGAGATCTTACAGGCTGATATGTGGACTACCCCTAACACATTCATCTCACATTATTTGCATTATTGGGCAGTTTCTGGTTTTTCCCAGTTGCCATTCTTCAGTTTACCCAAAGGCTCTAGTGTCATGAGTTTTATCCGTTGTATTTTTCAGTCATCTCCATGTCATTCGTACATTTCATGACACTTGCATGTGTGTACCATGATTTTTTGTACACATCCCAACAAATTGCAATTTCCTCAACTGAAACAAAAAAACAAACCACAAACCAAACAAGAAGAGGTAAGATTCACCAGATAAAATGGTACTTGAGGAACTACACTCTATGTTCCTTTTGCTGAATGCCATAAGAACCCACTGAGTGGTTGGCATTGCCTCATAGGGAATACATACAAAAATCTGCATTGAGCAGGGGAGAACAGAAAGTGTTAAACTCAATCATCCCTGCTCAGTGTCCACTGCTGAGCTGGGGTTTTCTGTAAGAGTGCTTTGGCACTATATCTATACAAGTATTGTAGTTGTTTCACACCTTTTAGGGGAAAAGAAAAACAGCACGAGGTGTGGTCTTGCCCTTACACCTAGCTCATGCTTGCTGTTTGTAGTTGTATTAACTCTGCATTGTCTCTCCGTGGGGACAGAACCCAATTCCAGATGATTGTGGCTGATGACAGAGATCCATACACACTATCTGAATTCACCTTGTATCACCCCCCCCCCTCCAAAGCATGGGAGAACCCTTACTTTCCCAGTCACTGGGAAGGTTGTTTTAGTGAGATTTTTCTGTTAATGGTGCCTTCCCCTCCCCTGTGTAAGGGATGGATTTGGCCCACCCTTCACTTGAAATGTAGGGCTGGATATTTCCTGGAAGTGAAGTACAGGACACCAGTAGTTCCCAGTGGATATGTCCAGCCAGATGAAACTTTACATTACTGGCTTCTCCACTTTGTCTGTTGAAAGCTTGATGTTGGAATAGAATCTCAGCTTTCATCATTATACCTTTCCTTTAATTAACTTTAGATTAATACTATTATGATTATTTTACAGTAGAGAAACATTTTATGATTGGAAATTCTGGTTCTGTTTGTTTTACCAGTGAGGAAGCCAGTAATGTAGGGATTCTATTCTCCATGTAAAGTTGAGATGGCTTAATCTGCTATGTGATCATTATCTGGATCAAGTGATATGTCCATTTCCATCCCTATCTTGTTTGTTCTTTTTTTGAAATTCAGTAACCAGACCTGCATAACTTTTTTTATTTAGCAATAATTTTTTTTCTTAATACTTTGTTTACTTTTTATAAGATGGCATGCGTGAGTTACTAGGTTATAGTGTATTCTAAAGCTTTAGAAATTTTGCATAGAATAACAATAAAATAGGTAGTTCAAGATCATGAAGACTGTTTTGCTCTATCAAATGATGATAAAATTATAATTACTGCTAGAAATAGGTAGGCAATAAATGTTTTTTCCCTAATACTTGTTTGTTTACTTTTTATAAGATACTGTATGTGGGTTACTAGTTATAGAGTGTATTCTAAAGCTTTATAAATTTTGCGTATTATAATAATAATAACAAGAAGAAAAGAAATTAAGTAGTCAAAGATCAGATCGTGAAGACTATTTTGCTCTATCAAATGATGATAAAATTATAGTTACTGCTAGAAATAGGTAGGCACTAGGCCTGTTGAAGAAAGGTGATGATGAATGAAAATGTGAAATCCTTGTTTTGGCTGTTAGCTTGTTTTCGATCATGGGATGCTCTGGATAGCTGAAAAGTGTGTGTGTTTGTGTATACATTGGAGATAGTGACTATGCCAGGTAGCTCTTCATATCTCGCTTTCTGATGATCTGTATCTGTATTGATTTCTTTTTTTAATCCTTTATTTCATACATAATATAGGGGTTGGCTTCCTAAAGACACCAATTGTATAGTGTACATAGCACTGAATATTGTACCCATCAAATGGTCATCTATTATTGGCTGGTGCCATGTGATCCCTGTTTGAGCTGTATGACATGCTTATATTAAGTATCAGGAAACGGAGATAGTGACACTGCAGCTTCAACTCATTTTGTGGGTTGCAAAGACAAATAGAATCTGAGCCAGCCAGCAATATTCACACCATCTGACCTCTGCAGTGCAGTTTTCCAGCAGCACGGTTAGAAATATTGTGCCCAAGTAGTTGCTCCTTAAAGCACATAAATTGCAGATATTCTTTCCATATTCCCCTTAATCTGGCTATGTTTAACACAAGTGTTAGGCCTGATGTCATAATATGCTTCTTCAACATTTAGTGTTTAAAATTTTACTATTAATGTATTTTTTTTTTAGTTTAGGGTAGCCACCGGCAGTGGAATACTGGTGCTCACTTTTGAGAAATAGTTGAAATTAAAACTGTCATGTAATTAAAATATATTATGATATTCAAAAAGCATGTGCATAGAAGATTTATATATATATAAATAGAATATAGATTTATTTATTAACATGTAATACATGAAATAATTAATTATGACACAGATACAGATTATCTTAGAGAAGAATAATGTTGCTAGTAGCAGTCCTGAATTTACTAGTGAAAAAACTCCAACTAGTAATCATTTACTAGTATCTTCAAAGGTTAAGGTCAAGGCCTTGTTAGTATAAACGTTGTCACTATGTGATATGGGAACTCATTTCATAATGGTTGAATTATCAATGTGTGTGAATTTTGCAAAATAATTCTTGCTTTCTAAGATTTACACTTGAGAACCCAATCCTAACTGCCATTGTAAACTTTTTCTGTTACAAACGTGTTAACTCTGGATTTCCACAAGCAGAATGAAACAGTGTAGTGAATTGTGTAGTTATATATATATATATTTTTTTTTTCACTATTTTTTCTCAGTTTTTTTTTTGATATAAATTATATAAATCTGTTATTCTTCTAAAAAGTAATAGTCACATTATACCTTGTGTCTTTCATCACTGTAGTGACCTAAATAATGATAATATGACTCGCTAATTTTCCAAGGGTCAAAACAGTGCCATTAATGTTACTATGGAAGTGTCATTGTGGAGTACTATATACCTCGCCATAGGCTGAGGTGTATGGAGTCTAAGCTGTATTTTTATCTTAAATTTTTACAGATACAGTAAATTTAAAATTTTTAACAATTTGAAATTTCATCATAAAATTTGAAAATGTCCCAGCTGTATTCATCAGAGTTACTTTTTTGCAACTTTGCCTCATAGATCAAATCAAAGTGTACTGCTTATTCACCAGTGACAAACATAACCTTAAAATGAATTGTATTCTACTACAAATAGTGTTGGTTGGAACACGATTCAAAGTGAATGGAAAATACAAAATATAGGATGCTTTTCTCAAGTCCATATTCCCTATTTTAAATTTACCCAAACATAACTCACATTAATGCCATAATTTTTATACTGTTATATCAGATATCATTTAATAATATTAAAAAATATAAAAGATGTGTACATGCATTAATAGTAGGGAAAAAATATGGATGTATAGTATTAACCTCTAATGCCGTAAAATACATACAGGAATTTTTTTTTATATTAGCAAAAGTTCCTGGCATTTCAACCTCTGGTACACTTAACAGTTTAATTATATTAGTATATAATTAAAGTTAAATTGTTTGTTTAACCAAGTGGCCAAATGTAATATCATATGGGGATGTTTAATAAAGAATATATGTGATTGGCAACAAATCTGAATTTGTATGGTAACACGCACAGAGTGAAAGTTTTTAAGTGAAAATGTGGCCTTACTTATGATTCACAGTAAAGTAAAACTGTTGAAATTTGTTAGTACTTGCAGTAACTAGCATAGTTTCGCTTTATTAAACAACATGACAATCACTAAAAGTTAGATGTAGAAACCAATAATTGTCTACAATTTAACAATTGTTGCAAGTTAACTTTAAAAGTATGTAGTAGATGGCAAGTATGAAGTCAGTATAAACAGTAAATTTCACATTAGTAAATTATTATTTTAAATTTCCATTCAATACACTGTCATTTGTCAATGTGGAAATTGTAGAAAAGTTGTAACTAAAGAAATCTAATGCAGTTATTGATACATAAATGATGACTTCCTGCTGACATTCAAATTGACAACATTAGTGGGTCAATACTAACAGAGGATGCAGATTGTAGACTATGCTATATTTCAAACTCTCTGGATATCACATATTGACTTTTTTTTTTTTTTATTCTAAAAGCAACTTGCACTTTTGATTGTTTTCATTGGGTAAAGGTTTCTACAGTATTTTGTGAGTCATAACACATGTACAATAATGGAAGCTTGGCTTACAAAATCTGAAATATGGGTTTATGGGATTGCACCCCGATTCCTATCAATGAACTTGGATGAGAATGTCCTTAAAAAGTTAATTCTCTGGGATGCTTTCACAGGGAATAATCGTGAAAGAACCACACACGCTTGATAGGGTTCATATCTAGCAATTGGCCTAACAATGAGGGTGTGTTAATGTCATGACCTTAAAATTATTTCATGACTCGGGCTGAATTAGCACGAACCCCCATCTTCCATTAAAATACTGCCTTTGTAGTATGCTGGTCATTTGCATAGACAGGTTGAAAGCCTTGATTGAGAATTGTGATAACTTCTGCTTACAACTGGTTATGATTGTCCACTTGCCCATATGATACCCCATAATTAAATGGAAATACCCCTATATTTTTTGTAACTTGTAGACAATTGAAAGACATTGATAAGATAGTCGCCAACCCCACGTGTATCCATTGTTAGAGAATTGCGGAAAACTGAACTTGTCAGAAAATGAAAGGAGGGTGTGATACCATCTGTGATTCTCATTTAATTTGTGTACAATACTGCTTGGAGTAAGGAGTGGTTTATGTCTAGCTACTCTGCCAATGTAGCCTAATAATATTGGGATACATTTTCACCTGTCCTGCAAAAGTAACAACCATTTGGTATGAGTCATTTTCCACACCTCTCACAACTTGAAGAGTAAGTTCTGTTGGGTTTGGTTGCCCAGGCTGTGCAGAAATTGCTTTCTGATGTGAATGGAACTGAATTGTCACCCTATTTATTTTTAATCGGTATTGCAAGTAACCTGGCAGTTTCTTGCTGAATAAGTGACTAAGTGCAAATACAGTAAGCCTTGGGATCCTTTTATTGGTGACATGACTGTTTATATTCTGTGGTCCTCACTAAGCCATACCCATATTTACACTGGGGTTATTTGTATATGATATCCTGAAAGTGGTAAATTTATATTCAGGGTGACTTATTTCCTTATTGTTAGTTGAGTAATGGATAATGTGGTTTGTCAATTTAAAAATTATTACTATTTAACTATTTTGTGAATAAACCATTACTGGTAGTGCTTCTTAAATATCATTTGTGATCTGATTGCTGAGAATTAAGATATTTGTACATTTTTTTTTCAACTAACTGTGATCTCTGTGTAGGTGGATGAGGCTGGTGTTGAAAGTAAGGACATTGAATTAGTTATGTCCCAAGCTAATGTCACCAGAACTAAAGCTGTTAAAGCACTGAAGAACAACAATAATGACATTGTAAATGCTATTATGGTAAGTTTGTTTTTGTTAATATTCATTTAGACATTACTTATTTCTGGACCAGAGAGGTATCTCTTATATCCCATGTTCTTTTTATTGTTAGTGACAATACTTGATCACTTCAAATACTAAATGGTGTTTTGTTTCCATTTCAAAGAAGTACATAAAAAAATTAATATTTGTATCATTTTTTTTAGGTTATGAAATATAACATTTTGTTGTGAAGCTGTTTTGTAACAACTATAAAGTACTCCTTTTGCATAGAACTTTTAATTTTTTTGTTAATCCTTAGAAAATCTGATTTTATATATCCAATCATTTTTAACTTGTTTGATTTTCATCAATTCCACTGTAAATCATACAAATATATTATGACTGACAAAGACTTACTGGTGAACTGTGACCTTTTTAAATATGGTGACCCTGTTATCTGTGTAAGGCATGGTAACAATATTCTATCAATAGTATTTCTGATTGAGATAAATTTATATCTAATAATTAATAATGTTTTCAATGAAATGTTATTTTTGTATTGTTTGAACACAACAGACGTCAAAGAATGTTCAATAAAAGAAGCTGCATCATTCAAATAGCTTACGTTGCAGGTCATAGCTAACCATACTTGCTAATCTCAGTATCTTTACCTGATTTTTGTAATAAAAGAATGCTGCTGTAGTTTTCACATGGACATAATATAATACAATAACATTCATCAGAAATTTAAAAGAATGTCATCAAACCACCAGGGAAAAAAATAATCCCAAGCCATAAGTAATTGAAAAGTATTCCAACATTGTGTGTTGATGTTGCTACATTACCTCTGACTGCATCCAACTCACTATATTCAAACACATCTAACTTGCACACAATACTATTGGATCTTAAGTAACATATCATAAAAGCTTAGCATCTACCCTTTCCAATGTTTATTGGCTTTAGGCTCTAACTCTTTTCAAAGCTGAGAACCAATAAGTCTTCAAGATTCCTCTTGGGGAGGGGGGGAGGAGATGCAGTAATTGTTGGTTCTATCTTAAACCGAGTTAAATTGTAATTAAGATTGTCATTAAAAGTCACATCAAACAAAATTTACTCAATATGTTAGATTAAATAAGGAAACAGTGCTACAGATACAACACTTGCTACCACAAACTGTGGATTAGAGCAGGAGGTTGCAGCACTTAATTAATGTTTTATAATTTGATATTACTGAAACAGAATTTTTGCATTAATATACTGTACTTTAGGGTTCTTCAATTTTTTGCATTGTTTTTCTTTTGTAGGGGTATTCTGTTATATTAACTTTTATCTTCATTACATACAAGAATAAAATTAACTCAGAATATAAGTAAAGATGTAGATCATTTTAAATTATGAAAGATTCTGCTAATATTTAGTTGAATAAGGAAAAGAGCTTTGCAAACATGTAAATGAAATAAACTTCAACTCTTTCAGCACAGGCTCAGTCCCTGGGACTGACCTCATAGTCATTTTGCGCTTCCTATAGTTTTCATGCACATGCATTTGCACATGGAGGATATGAAACAAAATAACTTTTTTTAGGTTTCATATATAAATTTGAATAACTAAAAAATCATAAAATACTACATCAATACCATAGAATTCCACTATAATTTATCAAGCTCAGTAACTCAGATGTATTTTAGTCTAAAAAAAATATTAAATTTCAAGCAGACTAAAGACACGCTCTACCTCCTTGAAATCTTGGTTCAAAAGAAAGAAATGGCATCCTAAGAATTTAAAATGGCTGAGAAAGCCACTAAGTGGACATTCTGAGCTTTGGATTGGTTATTCATGTCATATGTAGAAGTAAGTGTATATAAAGGAGCTTTTAAAAAAAATGGAGAGAGGTGGGCAGTGTGCCACTGTGTTTGATTTATTACATGAGCAATATCTTAGCAAATAGAAAAGATTAGACATTCTTATTTTTATATTCTGGCTTGTCAATATCGGTAATTGTAGTTTGTAATTCATGCGAAACTATAGACTTAGTATTTTGACTTCACAAACATCTAATTTGAACCAGTGCTGAATTCAACATACCACAAAAATCGATGTTTATCTGTTTTTTAATATTTACTTTTAAATTAAGAAATTGAGTAATGTATAGTTCTAAAATTTGAATTATAATCTACAGTTTGATACCAAAGTTATTGACATAATTTCATGAAATAGGAGTTCAATAAAATTTTGTATGCGAGTTAATAAATGAGATGACATGGCCTTTTACCCTGACCCATCTCGAAAGTTTTGTATAGAAATGTCTCATTAAAAAAAGGGGTAACCATTTGCTGTCTATTAATAATAATTAAGAAAATATGTGAAAACAAGATACAAATAGGCATTCAGAAGTTCATGGGTTTAACTTTTGGTACTTTGATGTATTGACTGCTTTAATTTTCAAATTGTCTATTGCACTGGATATGGTTTTGTAAATTAGACTACCTTTAATATGATTTTGGTTGCCAATTTCTTTTTTCTAATATGGTAGTTTGTGAAAGTGGGAAAACTGCCCTACAAGAACTAAGATGAACTAGTGTTAATACCAATGTTTTTATGGAGTAACTGGATGCTACTTGACACACAAATTTATTTATACCTTAATTTAAGATCCATTCTCATGCTACTGTCCATATTACAAGAGAAACAAGTGTATGTTTTTGTGTGTGTGTGTGTGTGTGTGTGTGTATGTATGTATATATATATATATATATACACACACACACACACACACACACACACACACACACACACACACACACACACACACACAC